GAATTCTGATAAATGGTTTCTTGATCTGACATAATAACAATTGTTCTAATATAGTATTTCACTTAAATTTGGACAATATTATCCTTGCCGTTTTATATGGAAGTGATGTGCAGGTGTGTGTAGAAGAGCTTTGAACATGGCTCATCTCAGTCGGAACTGAAACTGTTTAGTTAAACACTGATATCGCTTTTTACAATGTTGGTTTTAAACATCGAGATACAGTATCTCTCATTGTTTATCTGCTAAACATGTATTCCACATTGATATACAGTATAGAGGTTATTTAAGCAATATTACACGAACAGAAGCATTGTTGTACAAAATTGTGTACTGATTTAAGCAGTTGCTATCGATTAACATGTGTTTAAGCCAATTTTTGCTGGTTTGTACTTATTTTCTTTTAAGTTATCCATATACACTACCAGTCAAATTTGATTACACTAATAGACTAAAGATTGCTGAAAATGTATATTTGCCATCACAGGAATAAATTACATTTTAAAATATATTAATATAGAAAGCAGTTCTTTTAAATAATACAATTTCACAATTGTATTTTTTGAACAAATACATGCAGGTTTGGTGACCATAGAGGCTTCTTTCAAGAACATTTTAAAAACAAAAATATTTTAGTAATGTATAATTTTTTTAAACAAATCAGGTTCTCTTTCACAGCTTTGTTCCCTTGTTACAGTGTCTACAGTATATATGTATTCTTGGTCAGCCTATTGTAAAGTAATTAATTATCTCTTTGTTTGCGCTGTAGAAGAAATGAGATTGAATCCAATAGCTAATTACCTCTGACTCTTTGGTATATGTGTGTGTGTGTGTGTGTGTGTGCATGTGCAACAGTGGTCATATCCAATTGTTCTTTTCTCTGTTTTAAATATTCAAGCCCATATATGGTATATTAGCGACAAAATGTTTATAACGTGATTATGTGAACAGGTTGTCGTTCCCTAATCTTGCATCTCATCTACTTTTCACTCTCATCTTTGTCTTCCCCCTCGCATCCCGCTGCCTTATCAAGATGAAGAAGAGTTACTGAAAGAGAGACAGATGTTCTCGGTTCAAAATCTTTCCTCTTTAAAGTTTATGACTATATTTAGTAATGTAGGCCTGTTCTGCTGAATGATGCTATATGATTGTCAGCCTTCCTTTTATGGCAGCAGTCAGGAGCCTTTTTGACTTATTTCTGAAATTAGATTGCCACTTCATAAGGTTGCCCCCCCCCCCCCCCAGAAGTAAGATGTGTTTATGTGTATTTGTGTGCAACTTCTGTTCAAGAACTAGATATCATTTTTATCTGAAGAGATGAGATGTTCAGCCGTCCTTGGCCATGAGCCAGTTACATTCTATTCTCTGCCTCTATCAATGAGATTAACTGTGCGTTTCTGTGAGGCATTCTGGGAAAGCTGTGCAACAACTTCCTCTTGCAGAATCAAAGTAAAGAAACACCTCACCCATCTTTCATCTTTCTTGATGTTAACATTTTTTCCTGCTGTTCTTGTGCCTGCTAGCTCAGAGACTGTCACATACGGATGGGCTTTTAACTGGAGAGTAATAGCTATTTTGAAAATGTTTGATGTGCTAGTTGTCATTACAGGTAGAGCTTGTGCTTTTGCATATAAACTAGTTTTAGCATGCATTGTATTCAGATTTAATGGAATGAGACGGCAGTTAATATTTATGTACAGGTTTATAGTAAGGTCTTTTTGATATATCTTAATATCTGTTATAAACGTAGGCTCTTAAAATGTTGCTCTAGACTAGTGTTTCCAAACATTTTTTTGTTTTGTGTATCCCCATAAGCCTGTCGGTAAGGCTCTGATACTCTTTCATCAACATATGAGACCCTGGACCAAAAAACATCTTGAGGTTATGTATGTAAACATGGTTCCCTTGGGGAACGCCCCCGGTGATACCCCGTAATGAAGCATGTGTGAAATCAATCCAATAGACAAGCGAGACGTCACGAGCGGAGTGACGTGAGCAACCAGGAAGCATAAAGGCGCATCCGGCAAATGCACGTTAGCTTCTGTGGAAGCGAACACCTGCAGGGATGCAGGGAGTATGGCAGGAAGATGCAGCTTTTCGTTCCCTTCGGGGAACCATGGTTACATGCGTAACCTCGAGACGTTCCCCTTCAGGAACTCGAGCTGCGTCAAACGCTTTGGGAACGAGAATGCCCATTGCGCCATACGACCAAGTTCCTGTCTGATGTGTGTCTGGCGAGCACATCAAGACGAGATAATTTGGGACCCAAGCTAGTTGGTGTCAGGTCCAAACTGTAAAACCGGACAAATGTGTGCGGAGAGCCTGCCGCAGCACAAATATCCTGGAGGGCCATGCCCACTGATAAGGCCTTGGAGGCCACCATACTCCGGGTCAAGTGCGCTTTGACCCCCATCGGTGACGGGAGGCCAGAGGACTCATAGACCAGTGTGATGGTCTCAACCACCCACTGACTCATGGTTTGCTTGGTTGCTGGAACCCCTTTCTTAGGCGGACCGAAGCAAACGAATAACTGATCTGCTTTACGCCACTGGGCTGCTCTGTGGATGCAAGTGTCCAGTGCTCGCACTGGACAGAGAAGATTGAGTCTTTCCTGGCCTGCTTCCTGGAAGCGGGGAGGACAGAAGGCCTGTAGTACTATGGGACCCGACGAAGAAGTGGGCACCTTAGGAACATAACTGGGTCTCGGATAAAGAAACGCCCCAACCATGCCCGGGGCACGACACTGCGAGTGCCTGAAGGTCCCCTATCCTCTTCAGTGAGGATATAGCAAGGAGGAAAACTGTCTTCAGCGTGAGGAGCTTGTCAGAGATATCTTCAATAGGTTTGAAAGGAGCATTGCACAAAGCCTCCAGAACCACCACCAGGTCCCAAGAGGGCACCTTGGTGCACTGTACTGGCCTCAGCCTCCGGGTGCCACGGCGGAAACGTGTAACTAACGGGTGCTTCCCCAATGATTGACCACCCAGAAGGGAGTGGTAAGCAGCTATGGCCGCCACATAAACCTTCAGAGTAGAGGGGGATAACCCTGCGGAAAACCGCTCCTGCAGAAACTCCAGACCTGTACCAACTGTTGACTGGGTCTTACAGTCACTGTCCGCACCAAGAAGTGAAAAGCTTTCACTTCAAGGTGTACAGTTTCCTCGTGGCGGGAGCCCTGGACTGGACTGGGACTGCTCCCGCTCAGCAGTCCCAAAGACCTGGGAACGGCTAGAGAGGAAGAGCTGGAATGCTGCCACCTGCTTCTTCGCCTCCTGAAACCTCTCGACAACAGTATCGACTGTGCCGCCAAAGAGGCCAGAAGGCGATAGCGGGGCATTCAGCAGGAAGAATCTGTCCTTGTCTAGTAATTTGGACAGATTCAACCACAGGTGACGCTCCGTAGCCACAAGAGCTGCCATGGAACGGCCGATGTGCCTTTATGCTTCCTGGTTGCTAACTTCACCCCGCTCGTGACTTCTTGCTTCTCTATTGGACTGATTTCACATGTGCTTCAGTACGGGGTATTGCCGGGGGCGTTTCCAAAGCGTTCGACGATGCAGCTCGAGTTTCCTGAAGGGGAACCAGTCTTAAGTTGCACGGGTATATTTGTAGCAATAGCCAAAAATATATTGTATCGGTCAAAATTATAGATTTTTCTTTTATGCCAATAGCCATTAGGATATCAAGTAAAGATCATGTTTCATGAAGATATTTTGTAAATTTCCTACCGTAAATATATCAAAACTTCATTTTTGATTAGTAATGTGCATTGCTAAGGACTTCATTTGTACAACTTTAAAGGCGATTTTCTCAATATTTTGATTTCTTTGCACTCTCAGATTCCAGATATTCAAACAGTTGTATCTCGGTTGTGAGTTGTGACAAATATGGTCCTATCCTAACAAACCATAGATCAATGGAAAGCTTATTTATTCAGAAAAATTGACACTTAAGACTGGTTTTGTGGTCCAGGGTCACATATGAATACATCTGAGATGTATTCTTTTGTTTCTTATACACAAAAAAATGTAGCATCATTAATATTATTAAAATGGTTCTTATTACAATGATTCATATTTGAACTAAGAATTCAACAAGGAGCTTTTTCTCCCATTGATGAGCTTGTTTGAAGTTTTGACAGCTCTGGGGAAACTTTCTATGAGAAAGGCTGTATTGATTTATAAGTCCAAACCATGTGGGACAAAAGTAATTTCAGTAATGTTCCATAGAACAAGTATGAAATATCATCGATGAGGGAATACAGAGTATGAAATACCACCTACGAGTCTTTTATATAGATTTAATGAGAATTTTCAAATTGCAATAGGCAACCAAGACTACAAATTGTCAAGAATGCAAAATCAAAATCTTGCCCGGATTCCCCCCCACATTGTCTAATATAAAATGTACATTTGCAGACATATTCAGTGTAACAACAAGGAGCATTATAAGTTCCTGATAACATTATGCATGAGGAAAACAACAACAACAATGGCTAGGAATTTGAGAACTTTGTTTATGCATTAATAAAAGAGTGAATTTCTTCATTTTGTATGGCAACCTATTCAGTAATTTATTAGATTTATTCCTATATTAATAATTTACTTTTTTAGGATTAAAGAATAGAGCCGTTTTTCAAGGCTTAGAACAAGTTAATGAATGTTTATTTGTTTATTTATTTCCAGAAAAGGATCTGGTGCTTTCAACAGCCACATATTTGGATGCAGCATGATTCACATAATATATCATATGCTATATTTGAAAATGGATTTGTTTGAATCCTTCCAAGCTTTATAAAAAGAAACTAAGATTTAATACTTGTCTCATTTAATAGATCAACATCGCCCTCTAGTGTAGATATAAAGAAACAGTGATCTTCATTTATTTAGGAAGCACTCCTACATTATACATAGATTGCAGTTACTGTAAAGTTTAACTGCAAACATTTGACATAAATGTGAAATAAATAAACATAAATTGATTATTTTGCTCTTTTTCCTCAGAATATGCCCGGCCTGCACGATGGACTCCAACAGCACCGAGTTGGGCCTGTACTCACCATCCGACGCCCTGGGAGTGGGAATCTACCCGGCATCCACTCTGTGGCCACTGCTCCAGAACACAAGCCTCATCAACCTCAGTGCTGTTTTCAAGCTCAATGGGAGTGATGTCGAGGTTGAAGGTCAATCCTATGATCCTCTGGGCGGCCACTCGCTCTGGCAGGTCATTCTCATCGTTGTCTTTACAGGACTGCTTTCCCTTATTACTATTATCGGCAACATCTTGGTCATGGTGTCGTTTAAGGTCAACCGCCAGCTCAAAACGGTTAACAATTACTTCCTACTCAGTTTAGCCGTGGCAGATCTCATCATTGGGGTCATCTCTATGAACCTGTACACTGCCTACATTGTCATGGGCCAGTGGGCAATGGGACACTGGGCGTGCGACCTCTGGCTAGCAATAGACTACGTAGCCAGCAATGCATCCGTCATGAATCTGCTGGTCATTAGCTTTGACCGGTATTTCTCCATCACAAGGCCTCTGACGTACCGTGCCAAACGTACCACCAGGCGGGCAGGAGTGATGATTGGCCTGGCATGGTTTGTGTCGCTCATACTTTGGGCTCCTGCCATTTTGTTCTGGCAGTATTTTGTAGGAGAAAGAACGGTTCCACTGGATAAATGCTACATTCAATTTCTCTCAGAGCCCATAATTACATTTTGCACCGCGATGGCGGCTTTCTACCTGCCGGTGACGATAATGAGTGTTCTGTATTGGCGAATATACAAGGAGACAGAGAACCGTTCTCGGGAACTTGCAGGATTACAAGGCTCGGTTGGAAGGTTCGGAGGTGTCGAGCGGCCGCACTTCCACCTCCACGCCACTGGGGGGAGCTCTAGAAGCTGCAGCAGCTTCGAACTGGGCCAACCTGGCCACAAACAAAGCTCCGTTCATGGCCTGAGTGGGCGATTCCACTGCTGGGGGTGGAAGGCGGGTGGCAGGGATAAAGGTGGGCCGCACCGGGAGGCGGATCAGAGCAGCAGCGACAGCTGGAACAACAACGACGCTGGACTGTCAGTCGACCACTCGGGCTCATCTGACGATGATGAGAGCGCGCCATCCACCACGCGGGCGATCTTCTCCATCGTTCTCAGTCTGCCTGGCATGAGGGCAGCTGTAAACTCCCAGGTCACTTCTTGTGAGGATCTCACTGAGGAAGGTCCATTACGGTCCCCTGTGGAGAATGATGGCAGGGATGGCAGCATCTCCCGCTCCGTCACAAACGGGAACAAGCGGTTTGTCGGAAGCATGAGTAAAGTTCAGTCAATGTCCGGCATACAGCCATCAATGGATCCAAACATTGATGGCACCAACACAACCGTCAAATCCCCCTCAGCGCCCATAACTTTCAAAGAGGCAGCTCTAGCAAAACGTTTTGCAGCTCGCACAAGAACGCAAATCACCAAGCGGAAGCGTATGTCGCTAATAAAAGAAAAGAAAGCGGCGCAAACTCTAAGCGCCATCCTTTTTGCTTTCATTATTACATGGACGCCTTATAACATCATGGTGCTAGTAAACACTTTCTGTAATGGCTGCATACCTGAGAACCTCTGGGCACTAGGCTATTGGCTATGCTACGTTAACAGTACAGTAAATCCTATGTGCTATGCCCTTTGCAACAAAACTTTTCGTAGCACTTTCAAGATGATCCTGCTTTGTCGCTGGGATCAGAAAAAAAGCAAGCCAAGCTTTCCACAAAGACAGGCTGTGAGGTTTCACAGGAGCATACCGACAGACTCCACATAACAACCTGGTGGCGAAGCTAATTTGCTAATGCTAAAATGTAAGTTTCAAGGGGTGATTCCTCAAGTATCTGTACTATATAATGAAGCTTTAATGTGTGAGTCTCAATGTGGATGTGTAGTTCTGTCACTTATGATTCCGGGTCACTAGATTGTAACATTTTAAGACACTGGTTTAGTGTACAAAGAGCTTCAGTGATACTGAAGCACAACTGAGCAAGTGCAATTGCCATCAGTACTTCCTGTGGACTTTTATATGCCTTTTACTAAATCAGCAGTGCCAACTTTCAGGAGTTCAGCAGTGACATATAAAAAGTACATTTGAAAGGAGACTGTATTTTGAACCTCAGAGAGCTGATCGGATGTGATGCTCTCAATTACTTGTTTGAATATTTTGGGGTTGAATATTAAATATCTAATTTTTGTCAGTGAACAGAAACTAAAATGTGATTTTTAAATAAGGTGATGTATATCAAAGTATTTACGGTGAAGATATTTCTTTTTTTAAGTGAAATTTGCTGATTTGCGTGAAAGCGTGCCACACAGAGGTTCAGTATCTTTGCTGTCTTGGTAAGTGTAAGTGTTCTATTCATAAAAAGCACTTCCGTAAGCTGCTCTTGTATAAAGCGTGGTTGTTTACATTTGTTTTGCTACAAGTATTTTAATAGCTATTATGTAGGTTTTCAGTGCACATTGAATATGTTTGTATACTTTGGAATGCCTTATGTTTGGACTTTGAGATTGTGCACTGAATATACTGGGCTAGCTGTGAAATCATTTATGAAACCTAAAGAATGTTTTAACTGTTTAATGGACATTCAGATTTTGACATTAGTGCGTTGGAACATAATTCCATTTACAACCAAACTGCTTGCTGTCACCACCACATTTGGGAATGCCAGGCTTTAACATAACAAGCCAATATAGTTTCCTAAAGCAGCTGCAGATTTGCTTCATAAAAAGCACACAAAATACAGACCTATCAATCAAACATGCGTCTTTCTTCAAATATGGGCTCCTTTGGCACTGTGGTAAAATTAAAATCACTTAAAACACACTTTTTCCACACATTTTATTTAATTTGCCTACTAACAATGTCCAACAGTGGTCTTATTTCTAAAACATCATGTATATGTGTGATTTCCATCACATCTCAAATTATGTAATTAATAACAATAATAAAGATTATTAACATTCTGTGATGGAAATGGCATTTTAAACATTTATGGAATAAATGGCCTACTCCCTTTTCATCCTAAAGCTAATTTCATAGCATTTTCTGGATCCTAAAAACACACAATTAAATAACATTCTTCACAAATATTAAAGCTTGATTGGAAATTAGACAAATTTTACACTTGCCATTCATTTCCAACCCTAGTGTTTTGAAGAAATATGAATGATTGCCTGATTTGTAACTGATTTGTATTAGAGTAAAGAAATTATATGTTTTTATGTTTTACATTGCAAACAATGGCTGTATGTTTTGTAAGGCCTTGTAAGATCAAAGTTAAAATTGAGCTTCTGTGCATTGTGTTGTTTGTGGCTGTGCTCTCATTTTGTTCCAAATTGGCTGTGTACAAGTTAAATGATAGAGTTACTGTCAGATTTGTGAAGTGCAATTGCCATCAGTACTTCCTGTGGACTTTTATATGCCTTTTACTAAATCAGCAGTGCCAACTTTCAGGAGTTCAGCAGTGACATATAAAAAGTACATTTGAAAGGAGACTGTATTTTGAACCTCAGAGAGCTGATCGGATGTGATGCTCTCAATTACTTGTTTGAATATTTTGGGGTTGAATATTAAATATCTAATTTTTGTCAGTGAACAGAAACTAAAATGTGATTTTTAAATAAGGTGATGTATATCAAAGTATTTACGGTGAAGATATTTCTTTTTTTAAGTGAAATTTGCTGATTTGCGTGAAAGCGTGCCACACAGAGGTTCAGTATCTTTGCTGTCTTGGTAAGTGTAAGTGTTCTATTCATAAAAAGCACTTCCGTAAGCTGCTCTTGTATAAAGCGTGGTTGTTTACATTTGTTTTGCTACAAGTATTTTAATAGCTATTATGTAGGTTTTCAGTGCACATTGAATATGTTTGTATACTTTGGAATGCCTTATGTTTGGACTTTGAGATTGTGCACTGAATATACTGGGCTAGCTGTGAAATCATTTATGAAACCTAAAGAATGTTTTAACTGTTTAATGGACATTCAGATTTTGACATTAGTGCGTTGGAACGTAATTCCATTTACAACCAAACTGCTTGCTGTCACCACCACATTTGGGAATGCCAGGCTTTAACATAACAAGCCAATATAGTTTCCTAAAGCAGCTGCAGATTTGCTTCATAAAAAGCACACAAAATACAGACCTATCAATCAAACATGCGTCTTTCTTCAAATATGGGCTCCTTTGGCACTGTGGTAAAATTAAAATCACTTAAAACACACTTTTTCCACACATTTTATTTAATTTGCCTACTAACAATGTCCAACAGTGGTCTTATTTCTAAAACATCATGTATATGTGTGATTTCCATCACATCTCAAATTATGTAATTAATAACAATAATAAAGATTATTAACATTCTGTGATGGAAATGGCATTTTAAACATTTATGGAATAAATGGCCTACTCCCTTTTCATCCTAAAGCTAATTTCATAGCATTTTCTGGATCCTAAAAACACACAATTAAATAACATTCTTCACAAATATTAAAGCTTGATTGGAAATTAGACAAATTTTACACTTGCCATTCATTTCCAACCCTAGTGTTTTGAAGAAATATGAATGATTGCCTGATTTGTAACTGATTTGTATTAGAGTAAAGAAATGATATGTTTTTATGTTTTACATTGCAAACAATGGCTGTATGTTTTGTAAGGCCTTGTAAGATCAAAGTTAAAATTGAGCTTCTGTGCATTGTGTTGTTTGTGGCTGTGCTCTCATTTTGTTCCAAATTGGCTGTGTACAAGTTAAATGATAGAGTTACTGTCAGATTTGTGATAACTGTTGAATGTTACAAAAATACAGCTCCCGAAAACAAAATGCATTTTTATCCTCAGTTTGAGATTGTTTCTCAAAATAAATGTAACATTTTAAAATGAATCGGTGCTCTTTTTAAATACACAACATGTTTGTGGAAACTTGCTTGTTGGTTTGTTTTAAGTCATAAAGCCCTAACGCTGTGTGTGTATGAAAGAAGATGCATCAATTGCTATTGGTGGCATGTAGTAGGAAGAGAAGCCATGTGATAACAGCATTCATGTGATCGAGGAATGAATGTTACAAAAATACAGCTCCCGAAAACAAAATGCATTTTTATCCTCAGATTGTTTCTCAAAATAAATGTAACATTTTAAAATGAATCAGTGCTCTTTTTAAATACACAACATGTTTGTGGAAACTTGCTTGTTGGTTTGTTTTAAGTCATAAAGCCCTAACGCTGTGTGTGTATGAAAGAAGATGCATCAATTGCTATTGGCGGCATGTAGTAGGAAGAGAAGCCATGTGATAACAGCATTCATGTGATCGAGGAAGAGGAGCAGCCCAGCGAATGTCACAAACACTTACTTGTTCCCTCAATTTACTAGAGACTTCATCCAGGCAAGTAGGCACTTTATTTCCGAACTTCTCTCTTTATGTTTTCTGTCTTGTTTGACAGGTCTCCTGTTCATTCTTGATCCAGGTCAGATCAATTTGGATTAGCAGTGACCTTCTAGACTAATCATACAGCAGTAAATCAGACCTCTTACACAACTGAGTGATGTGAGGAATAGAGAGATGTATCTGTATGTGAAAAGACATCAGTAGTTTCATGCCTTGAGGAAAACATTTCATTTGTAATGAAGGTCATGTTGAACTTGTTCTAAATTAATGCAGGAATCTTTTCTAGATATTTTGAAATGATCTGCTCTTCCATAGACTTAACTGTATGGTTCTGAAATGTAGTTTAGTACTAACCTTTTATTGATATAAAAATTTCATTTCTGTAGGCATCGATATCTGTGTACTGGATTAAAATGAATATTGTATAAATCGGTTGAAAGCTCACGGGTGTGTGTCTGATGCCACAAGGCTGGAGGATAACTCTGATTTCAGGCCTGCTGGCCACAGGCGTACATCAGTTTATGAGATCAGTCCATAAGCTCACATGACGCTGCACTGGTACACTGTGTCTGTCTCTCTCACACACACACACAGACAGAGAGAGAGAGAGAAATTCCTGTGCTATTTTCAGATGTTCCGTGTGCAGGATTGGATAGAAAAGGGGTAAAAAAAAATCTTAATTCTGTTACCTTCTTACCTTGTTACCTTCTTATCTTAAATCTTAATTACTCACCTTCATGTTGTTCCAAACCCGTGAGAATTTTGTTCATCTTCGGAACTCAATTAAGATATTTTTGATGAAATTCAAGCGCTTTCTGACGCTGCACAGAGAGCAACACAACTGACATGTTCAAGACCCAGAAAGGTAGTAAGGACATTGTTAAATGCTCTGTGCCTTGTATACAAGCAGAGAAATTAACACGTGTGGGTCATTGTGTCTCAATTCCTCAAATTCAAGAAATTGTTGAATAAAGTCATTCTTTTTGGAAGTAAAAAGTAACACCTAATTTACTTTCCTATTGCAAAACAAACAGAAAATGTAACCAACTTCTTGCTTTCCATAAAAAGTTAGCTTGTTTGGAGTGTAATGCAATAATATAATATGTAATTTAGAAATAATTCTGCTCCTACCTAATTCTGTTCTCTATCTAAGTTTTAATCAGTTTGTGTCCTCCTCTCAGGTCAGTATAGCAAGAATCAAGATGCAGACCATTCAGACAATAGAGATGCAGTTACCTGTCCTGCGAGAGAGTTTCCACTCCTCTCCCTTCAGAGAGAGAGTGAAAGAACGGAGGAAGAGCAGCCTGACAAATCTCATCAGAAGACAACAGCAACAGTTATTACTCCAGCAACAACAATCAGAATTACATCAGAAGCAACAGCTGTTCTCACCCTCACAGGGCCACACTGCACATGCTCAGTTGGTCCGCTCTTCCAGCAGCCCGTTATGTGACTTGGCAGAGCAAATAGATGAGCAAGAGAAAGTGAAAGAGATTGGGAGGCAGGGGGAGCTGTCTCTCAGACAGTCCTCGGCTACGGCGTCACAGCCTGCATCATCAAAGCAGCTGCTGCCGACGGTGAAGAGAGCGAGAGAGGGATTAGAGAGGGAGAGGGAGAAAGTGCAAGGGAGCGCGGAGAGGGAGAGAGGAGAGAAGAGAGAGCAGCACAGAGAAAGAGAAAGTCAGTCCTTTCATATGCGTTCCCAGCATGGCCTGATCGCTAAAGGTGTTCGCCTTCTGAGGAACATGGGAAACCAGGAGGCCAAGCAGAAGAAGACCACTGTCACGACTGGAGTGGAAGGTGCTGGGAATGGGGCGAGCACCGAGGACCGAGACCATGAACATCTCAAGAAGATTAAGAAAAGTAAATTGTCGGGTGACTCGGGCAAGAAGAAATCCAAATCGGAAGGCTCCAGAGGTTCTGTATTTTCCAACATCCGTATCAGAAAGGGCCTCTCCCGGAAAGGGTTGTCCAAAGAGGATGTACTGGATGATGGGATTAGGATTAAGAGCATGGATGCTAACGACAGCAGCAATGGTGGAATATCGGGTGATGAGCTGGAGGGTCTCACGCCTGATAGTAAGCAACTCACGGCTGAAAGCAGGCAGTCAACTCTGGACATGACAGAAGATGATGCTGCGAGAGAGACTGAGGGATCAGGGTCAGATACAGACCTCTGCAGCTACCACTCAGCCACCGAGGCCCAAGATCTGCTGTTGGATATCCAGAGGACTATCAGACAACAGCAGCAGATGGAGGGAGTTTCTGAGGGGCAAAACTGTAGTGGACAAGTAGGGTCTGAAGGCCAGACTGAGGTCACTCAGGGTCTTACTTGTAGTAGCCTTGCTTGTATTGGCGAACCAGAGAAGGTAGAAGGTGTATCTGCATCTGACAGCAAAGAACAAGATCTTAAATATAGTGGGGCTACAGTAGAAAGGGTGATTACAACAACACTAAAGGCAGAGTCAGGTGGCGAAGTGACTGATGTTGCAAATAAAGCTGAACGTTTGAGCAATTTGGCCATTGACTATTGCATTCAGGATAGTATCACTGACACAAGTAGTGTCCAGGATACCATATCTGTTACCAAATCAACCAGTAACTACAGTTTTCAGGATACTACAGCAACATCCACCTCCTATGAGAGTGCCGAGGAGATCCTGGAGAGTTCATCTCTATCGTCTCCTCTTGAAGAGTGTCATTACGGTAGCAATAGCCTGACTCAAAGCCTAGAAATTGGTCTCAATTCAAGAAATCAGACCAGCTCAATGTCTAAAATCAGCCGGATAATTTTCGTCCCACAGAAGAGCATTAGTAGTGTAGAGCTGAACATAGAGGGTGATGGTCATGTAGAGGAGGTAGATCGAGAGTATTCCCACCAACAGAGAAGGAAAAGCAGTGCTGCGTCCATCACCCAGTGGTCATCTGAGAACGTTTTAGGCTTGGGGTCACGACCACGTAGAACTTCCAGCGCTAACCTCGGGGTTAAACCTT